TTTTTTTTTCTGTTTTGAAGGTATGGGGTCCTAGCTGGACCCCGCGCGACCCCAATCGCGCCTTGACCTCGACCACCCGGGCCGCCACGTGGCCACCAGGGGCGTGAACGGCCGTTCATTGAAATCGGACCCGATGAATGGCCGGTCACGTTCAGGTGACCGGTCCCGTTCATGTTCACGGGTCTGGCACTGGCTGGCAGCCTTTCTTCCTCCTCTTCCTCCCCCTCTTAATCCTGAGATCGACCACTTCCTCTGAGTTTCTTCTTCCTCTTCTTCTTCTTCTTCATCTTCCTAATTAGAAAGGTCACGCAACAAGAACGCGCTGTGTATCCTATATTTATAAAAAAAAAAAAAAAACCTTTTCCGATCGGGTCAGCTGACGAGGACGGGGCCGTTCGATCAGGTGTATAATGGGAAGGCAGATCCACAGCGATGCGGGATACATCGAAGTAGCATAGGTGATGGACTGGGCCAACTGACAAAGAAGTGGCCGCCCGGATCCTCAGAGTAATTAGGATGCCAATACAGCAGTCAGAAGACTGCTATCTTTTTTGGAACCCCCTACACATCACATATGTGATAAGCCAGGATCCGTACTAGGCGGCTTCTAGTACCCTTAAGGGAAAATCCCACAAAAAGCCCTGAAGCACGGATTCAAGATAATAGGGAAAAACGGAGCTTCATTTCTTTTTGTTTGTTTCTTTCTCTTTAAGAAAAGAGGGGCGGTGTAGAAAATGTAATTTGGGTCTTGAGCGGCTGGTTAGCGGCCGCACCAAGACATTCAAGAAACAATCGGGAATTAGCGGGAGTAGGAATTTTGAAATTTTTGCGCGCGGCTGTTTTATTGAATTTTTGCGCGCCACGTAAGCCCGCTCGTCCGCTCTACATACCCGCGCCATCTTCCCTTCTTGCTGCGCATTTTCTTCCTGCATGCCTCTTTGTCTTCCCTCTAAGCGAAACCTGATCCCCTCCTCCTTTCCCTGCGAACGATTGGCTGTCTGATTGGGTTGGTCAGGGCAATGTGGTGGTAGCGGGAAGCGCACCCACTTGGATGACCACGCCAATCATGCAGATCGTCTGACTTGCCTCCTTCGATCCTTCTGGAACATCTGCCCTTCTTCCGTCCTACCCATCTACACCCCGTGCTTCGTGCAGCCTCTCCGCCGCCGTCCACGCTATAAATTCTCGCAACCAGTGTCGTACCCCCGTTCACCGTTCACGGGGTCTGTGGACGGAGACCGGTCATGGAGTTCACGGCGTTGACAACACGGGAGTTCATGGAGTTCACGGAGAGCGGGTTTTTTTTGTTTTTTTTTTTTGGCTGGGGGGTATGGGTTTTTTTTTATAGGAGGGTGGGGGACATCGAAGGTAACTCCCTATAATTTTTTCAATTTTTTTTTTCACGAATAATATTTTTTTTAATTAAAAACGAAAAACAAAAACATAAACCAGCCAAAATAAGCATTTTCGTTTGTTATTTTGTAGGTCATTTCGATTTTTTTTTATTTTTTCAATGTCATCACGCTGTGGGGCTTGAGGCGAATGTACCTAGGGGAGCGCCCCCCCCCCCCCCAAAAAAAAAAAAAAAAAAAAAAAAAAAAAAAAAAAAAAAAAAAAAAAAAAAAAAAACACTCTTTAGTGGTCGGCCCGTTCACCGTAAACGGCTGTTCACGAAAAAAACACCAAATGAACGGCGGGTCACGTTCAAGTGACCGGTGCCGGTCACGTTCACGGGTCCGGCACTGCTCGCAACCCCTTCCTCTCACTCTCTTTGATCTCGGCTG